AATATGTTCTTCCCTATACCTGAAATACTGTTTGGGAAGTACTTCCAGAAATTTAAATGTAAGTATTAATTAACTGCTTAGAGTGTCTATCGAGTTTCCTCCTGCCAAATCTGACTGCTGGTACAGTGGGTTGTGCATACTGGGCTTTTGGTTTTTTTTAGGATGAGGGAAAAAATGGGATGTGACAGGAGCATAGTCTTGAGTTACTTCCTTTTTTGAAAGGTTATATTTGCAATACTGGTTTTAAGACAGTTTTTAAATAGTGGGGGAAAAGGCTATTCCTTGGTCAACTACCTGTATAAGCTCAGACAGCAGCCCTGTTGTGGTTGTTGGGCCACAGATATTTGATGCAGGCTCTCACTTCCTTATGAAATTCAAGGAAATAAATGGAAAATTGGAAGATGGCCCTTTGGAAAGGGAATGAATATGATCATGAAACTGAACACAGTAATACATGTTTTTCTCTCAAGTCTTTCCATCTCCTTGAATTGAACAAAATCACATTTCTTCCTGTTACACAAAAGTTGACATGAATTAGTGTCCTTTACATTTTAGGTCTCTAAATGACTTGTGTTTTCCAGATACTTTTTCAGAACACCTCTATGGAGCTTGGAGGCAACCGTTGATAGTATTACTGATGCTAGTGTTGATAAGATTTTGGAAAAAATTCTTTGTGTTTACTTTTCAAGTGTTTATTTAGAACAGCACAAGAGAAGACAGCTACTGTGGTTTGGGAAAAAAGCATAACTTTTTTTTCACTGTTCGTTTACAATCACATCTGAATTTTTAATTCAGTGCTTTTCAAGAGATACAGGAGAGTACACCTGTTACATCTGTTTAAGAACGGAAGAATGCTCTAAATGCATAATGATAAGGATTAAAAAGCCATATAATTAAGTGAAAAAGGTGTTAAAGTAAAATCAGGTGTTTGAGACCTCAACAGAGCTGCTTTAAGGTGAGGAGTGGGGTTGTAGGAGCTTGTTCTCTATGAGCAGGGAACCCAAAAGAGACCTGTCACTGTTTAATTATAGGAACTCTGTTTCACAGACATATACTAACTGTGTCTTTAGAAGTCTTTGACAGAGATTGAAAATGTAATTCCACACTTTAAGTCCTGATTAAAGATATCTTCATGGCTGGACTTACCCTAAAATATGGGAGATAAAAAGCTGTAATGCCTTTAAAATAGTTAGGAGGTGCTTGCTCAGAGACACTAATGCTGTTTTTTATATGCTGAGTTTTGAGTCTTTATGGTTTGGTTATGGAGACACTAGGAAATAAAAATCTGGGGCAATAAAACCTACATTGAAAAAGTACAATAATGTGTTTGTAATTCCTTTTCTCCCTTTGCAAATATGAACTTCTGGGTTTGCTACAAAATGGTGGGTGAACTACCAATATTTTTAAAATCACTGCTCTAGCTAATTATCTTAGTGCAGTCACTTAAGTATGCATCACTGCACTCTTCTCTACCTTCCCACTTTCCTCTGAAAGTGGACACAGCCTTTGCTCTGCAAGTAATGATAATAATTGGTACTAAGACAGACCTGTTACTCATCCTTTTTTGAACACATTTCTTAGGGCAGATGTCTAGTTTTTAATTAACTGCTAATGAACATGCCTAGTAGACCATGATACTGCTGCCAACCTACTCCATTTTATATCTCACTGCTGCTAAGCTCTTAAAAGGTTGCAGAGCAGGCATTAGTGTCTTTGAAGTGATGGGAAAGTGATTATATGCATAACATAATTGTTTGTAGGATCTACTATGGCAAATGTTTAGTTACTAAATGCATCTGGTGAACGTTGTTGTTATCCCTCTCCCTGGTCTTTTTTTTCTTCCTTTGTGTGCAGCACATATTCCTTTTATCCCTTCTACAACGATAATACAATATGGTTCTAAAAATTAAAGGTTTTTAAATGAAAAGACTATGAACTTCTGGAAAGGATCATCTTTATGGATGATCCCTCGTCTCTTAGGGAGAGCTTCAAACCTATTATGAGTAAATAACATATAAGCCAGAGATCAGTGTATTAAAGTCCTAAACAGCAATGAACATCAGGTAATAAACATGAAATCACGACATAACTTTGGTAGCTTAAAAGACCATGATCAGGATTTCTGTCTTAAGTCAGTTTCATGTTTACAGAACCGTGCCTGTAAGAAACCACTTACAAAGCTACAAAAACGTGCAGAGCAGCTTTGCAATGCACCTGCAGCTCTCACACCACACCTCTCCCATTGCTCCCCACTATATGTGTGCAATACCACCAACAAACACGGGGCACAGCCCTCCCACTCTCAGCTTCAGAACCTTTTATAGAGGAATAATCTGTTCCTCATGTCTCAGACTTTCATAATATGTGGTATGTAGGCTACAAACCAGAGCTAGGGAAATGGTAGGTAATGTGTCGCTAATATTCCTTAAAATGTTACCCTATGCTTCCCGAAATCAAATGAGTTAGCATGTTTGCTAATTAAACCAAGCAGGGAGAGAGATGAAAAAATGTTATCTTCCTACACTTCCCAAATGTTAGGGACAAGAATGGAAACAATTTGACTCCTGTTCCCTGTTTCAACTTTCCCGCAGTCACGCTATAAAACAAGCTAGTTTCAGCTTATTGCTGGAGAAGGGAGAAGGCTTTTCTCCATGAAACCACTTTGGAAGAAATAAATTACTTTTTATTCTTGGGCAGTTGCACACCAAAACTAGTTAATATGGGGTGACAGTGCAGCTAGGGACAAGTAAGACCAAAGCCAACAATGCTGCACATTACGGCTAATTCATGTTGCCTCAGTGCTAGAGTGCAGATGACTGACCTGGCTGAACTGGTCAATGACGAAAGAGGTGACTAAATTATCATCTCTCAGAGAGGCTGCCAAAATATCAGGTTATCACCTGTTTTGAGGAAATGTGCTGGAAACTACTAAAGTCTTGTTGAAGTGTGTGTGGAGAGGGGTGTCATATTGTTCTTTAGAGACTGGGTGCAAAAGATGAACAAAAGGCCCAAACCAAACCTCTGCAGTCCTGTCAGAACTTAGAGCTCCTTACTGATAGTTCTTCAGTTAAGTGAAGCTTCACTAGCAAAAACTGATGATATTGTAGAAAGTGGACTACTGTGTTAACTACTTAACATCAGTGATTCCTAATATTTCCTTCAAAATGTTGTCCTTTGCATTGTTGTAAACACATTAAATTAGAAGAATAAGAAGTACTTCTTATTAAAGACCTTGTTTTCTTAAAAACCTTGTTTTCTAAACTTACTAGAAAGGGTGGTGATCAGATGTGCATTGTGAAGTGTAGACTAGCATGGCTTTTCATGCAGCACTCAAAAATAAATTCCTGATACATGGTGTGAGAAAGATTTGGTAAACGTGTGGCTTTACAGAATTGACTAAATGTATTGTGGCAAATTTAAAGTTTGTCTTGTATATGAAAATAAGTAAATTATTGCTGCATGACAGTTGGGACAGCAGAAAAGTGCAAAATTAGCAAGTGCAGTCCAGAGTTCTTGAATGTCAGCCTGTGTCTGCATAATTTTATCAAGGGCTCAAGGCATATCTCGGGATGGGGTTCTGAGATGTAAAAGTGTAGGAGTTCAGTAATTATATGGATATAAATAGTAATGAAAAAATTCATTCATGTGCCAGTAGATGTTATACAGGTATTGTTGACAGTTTGTCTTGAAAAGTCTTTACACCTAAAGAAACAGATAAAATATTTCTGCATTATTTTTGGAGTGATGGGTGAAATATTGTAAGCTGCAGTTCAGGTATTATTGCAGGCAGCACTGTAACAATTTTACATGCTATTACAGAACCACTAGCATTCACCTGGTCCAACTTGAGTTCATCCTGTTCGGATATACGTTTATTTGTCTCCTTTTCAATCCCATGAATTGGACAGCACTCTAGCTTTTTCCTGGTGTCTGCTGTGAGCAGAGGGATAGTGGTGAGTGGCCAAGCTGGAGAGGATTGTTCTGTCTTCCGTTTATATGCCCAGACTCAAGGAAGCAGGAGAGAGAGGCAGAGTATCTATTAACCTGGAACAGATTATGGGAGCTATGACTAAGCTAATGCTGCTTTTGAAGCTCCATTTTCTTTAAAAAAAAACTGTGCCGGGCATTTTGGACAAATTAAATGCGTAGCTAAACTTGGTAAACATTAATAAAACTATGGAAATTTTAACTAGAAACTATCTTAATATTTCAACTATGTGGAAGACATTCTAATGTAAAAACTCTGTTTCTAAAATTGCTTACTGATTATTTTAGGAGATTGGTTCCAGGCTTGTATGTCCACTCATTATGATTTTGATCTTAAAAGCTCCTTCTAAAACAGGTGGAAGTATTCATTAATACCATGTTTCTTGTTGAAAATTCCATGCTATCTAAAATACATGGATTTTCAGCTGAAAGCTGGCTCCTAAACACAGTGTTAAGTCATGAAAAATTTCCCCTCTTTCCCCTAAAAACCTTGGCTAGACTAGAATACAAATTAAACTTCACTAAATATGAAGTTCAACATATCTTTTACATTTTTTTATGCTCAGGATAGAAGTGCTTCCAAACTGGGGAAGAAGAGGGATGTGAGTTTAAATCAGTCTTGCCACTGAAACTTTTTCTTCTCAGAGCAGCGATAAGGCTTTCTCTAGAAAAGGAAAGGTGTTTGATTATTCTGCTGCTATTCTTTGTTGGCAGAGATGCTGTATCAGGCAGTAGCTGCCCAATATAACCTACAGCTGCTGAACTTAGTCATCAGGCTGTAAAATGAGTATCCAGATAGCTTTTTCTGAGACATGACCAGAGTTGTCCTCAGCATGATATAATGCAGTGTATATAGTGTGGTGGGTTAAAAGGGAGGGGCTAGATTAAGAAGAAACAAATAAATGTCAAAATCTGTTCTAGATTCTCAATAATTAACCAAACTTCTGCCTTATCCTTCCCAAACTATGTGCTATACGTTGTTCTCCTGGGGATGATGATACCGCTGGGAACAGCAGCAGCAGTTGCAGGCTCAGCATCTCTCCCATGGCCACGGACCTCCAGTGCCTCTAACGCCGCACCCATCAGGACTTCAGCCTCCAGGAATCCCTCCACTTGGAAGCAGTGCTGGCCTTCTTGCCCTTTCCAGTGCTTTGGGTGGGCAGTCTCACTTGGCAATAAAAGATGACAAGAAGCATCACGATGCAGACCACCACAGAGGTGAGAGGCATGGCAGGCCTGATTAGGACGCTGCCAAATTTGCGCATTGCTGCAAATTATGTGCATCTCTAAAGAATTCAAGTTATATAGAATGAGAAAAAACTGTTGGCAAACTTTAAAATGTCTGCATATAAACCACTGAAGCAAAATTCAGCTTGGAATTTTTCAGTATTTTAAAGGGGATCACTAGGTGTCACGTGCTCTATACTTTGCAGGGCCTTTTGACATCCTAGTTAAATGCTTAGTTGTAATAGCAGTGGCCTGCACCATATTGTGGAAAATTGTTAAACTGCATAATGGTGATTTTTTTCAAAGAAAGTAATGTTGTTAAATGGGTGGGTGTGAAGGTAGGGGGAACAAGAAGTTAAATTTTGAAGTGAATGTGTTCAAACAGAAGATTTAGATAATTGCATCTGTTACTTTAGTTTCGTAAGCTTAAATTCTAGTACTCAGTTAAATATTGGGCAAAATTGCACTTAACTAATTTTTGAAAAGAAAATAATTTATTCTGTCATGAAATAAAACTAGGCTTTGTGTACGGTTAAACTGTAAATCATGTTTACAAAGTACTGTAATTTTCAGGAAATCACTGTATTAGGAATGTGCAATGACTTATATAAATAAAAGCCATTTTAAAACTGTTTGTGGTTTGTGTTCTAATTTTTTTCCCCCCTTTTTTATTTCTGTTCTTGCCTCTGTGTCTGAACGGGCATGTCTGTCCATTTCTTGGTTACTGCGGGAGCAGACAGAGAGCCAGGCACAGTAAGTACCAACATTCCTGCTAGTGTTTCCATTTCCAATAATGCAATAATCAGATCTTGTGCTATTTGTCTGTTTTGTCTTCCTTTTAGTTATTTTCACAATGCAAGGTGTATGTGTTTTCTGTTAAGATATGTCTTGATTTATGCAGAACACCAGATAATTTGTTTGATGAACTGTATGAAGGAGTTTTGTTTCCGAGCAGAATGCTATTAAATAAACTTGAATGTTAGTTTGCTTATTGGAGGCATAAAGGGGGAATGAAACTGCAAATCAAAGAGAACATTGCAAGTACAGCAATTTTTTTTTTTAGTCAAAGAGTTAAGATTTTTAGTTTCTAGGATTTTCAGGAATTAGAGTTGGAGAGCAGGTGAGAAATTTAAATGTGAGAATTTTAAATGTGTAGAGATGGTGTTTGGCCCTGGGAGGTTTTTTTAACTGTATCTGTTTAAGCTGTACTAATGTCATTACTGCTTAATTTGTGCTTCAGCTATAACTCCTAGAGCAACACTTTTTTCTCTGTAGACATAAGCTGTAATAGAATTGTCCTTATCTGAAAAGCCCTCTAAAGAACTACTTGCTGCTTTTCATGCTGTTTCATTTTGACTGATATTGCTATATTAATCTGTTAGAGATGGTCATGTGCAAGTCAATTCAAGTAACAAAGCTCGTTCTGTTTGTTTATGTCAGAGGTGAACTTGGGCTCTATTTTGTTCCATTTCTCAGTTAAAAAAGACAAGAACTATGAGAAGTTATTTGACAGCTGTACAGTACAACATTTATTTACTGGAAACTAAATATCTTTTGCAGCAGTCTGTTAACTTTAGATTACTAAGCAAGAAGCATTCATTTCAGCTTGCTTGATGTTATTAATGACAGTGTATCTGCAGAAATAATTTTAAGCTGTGTGTTTGTGACGTCTCTGATTTATTAAGTACTTTTTGCCCTGTGTGAGGCATACTTCTTTGAGTGCTGTTAGTTGATTGCAGGAATCCTTACCTAGTGATGGCTCTGTGTTTTGCTTTGGTTGTTATGTTTCCTGTCCTTGCCCTGGTGCCTGCCCTGTCCATCATGTAATTTAGTCAAGGGTTTGAATTTAAAAGCAAATGCTTAGTGTTGTGAAATTTGGACTCTGAATTCATCTTGTAGCTGAGAATAGCTCTTGCCTATGGAAGGAGAACTATCAAAAATTAACCTGGCATTTGTGTTGTGGGAGAGTTGCAGGATCACTTCCTTAGTTTACTAGAGATGAAAATTTTACCTAAATTATGTAAAATTGTTGCTGCAATTGTTTCTGTATCCACATGTCTAACTGATGACTGCTTACTTAATACCTGAGGCAGACTGATTTTATGCTGGGTTTATCAGTAATTAACTTTTAAATAATCAGAGGCTTTATATCATAAAGGAATTTTGACATGTAGATATATTGAGTTTTGCATGCTATACTATGGTCATTCTAGTTTCTTTTTGGTCTCAGTGTAGGACAATACTGCATAGCTAACTTAAAATTTAACTTAAGCTGAATGCAGGTAAACTTGAACTTAAAATTGATTAAATACAGTGTTATATCAAAATCTTGACTTAACAGTCACAGGACACCTTAAATGAAAGAATAATTCAAGAGGTAGTTAAGTTCAACTCTGGTTAAAGTGATCAGCTGGAAATTACAGACACTTCAAACTTCTCCAATTCTCCTGTATTTTTAATGGATTTTTTTTAAATGTAATATATATTTTTAAAGATAATAGGAAATGGGTCTCAAATACACAAGGGATAGCAGCAGGTCTGTTTGGTTATTATGTGTGATTGAAATCACTTTATAACATTTGGGTCACCATGATAAAATAAATTTGATTTTTAGAATAACATTTTAAAAGCAATGGTGCTGCTAAAAATCCTGACAGGCATGCTTTCATCATCCAAGTCATCAAACCCCATGCTGTTTGTAAATTACCTAGATTAACCACGATGTTTGGAATTACTGTGCAGTTCTACAGTATGGTTTCCATCAAATATGTCTAGCATGACCTTCAAGCACTACCAGTAGAAGCTAACAGCTTGAAATGTCAAAGTTTGAAAAGTTAAAATTTAGTGCTTGTCTATGGGGTTTTAAATTGATTTTTTGTGGCATAAACTTTGAGTTAAAGCATATTGTGACATACGCATATTCATTTTTAAATTGGATTTGGATTTATTTTTTAAAAAATTCCTTAGATAAATAAGCAGGCACAAGGTTTGAAGCTATTATATGTCTAGAAATACACCAACATTTGTGAAATTCTTGTATTTATAAATTAATATAAAGATATGGTTTTATTATTTTTGATTTTGACCAGTTTAACTACTTTTGTTATATCTAAATGGCAAGGGCTAAATTTTTCTTTCATATATTAGTTCAAGTTCTGGGAAGTAAAATGACAAAAAGTTTTTTTGGTAAATGCATATTTGTGTAATGTGTAATATATAAGTTAGCAATAATATTATGCTGAATATGTATAAATAATATGCTAATAAATATGAATAATATGAAAGCTAAAACTATTTTGTCAGATTTAAATTGTGTGCCTGTGTGGGTAATGGCTGGTGGGTTTTGGCTGATGGATCTCTGACGGCCCCAAACTGTGTCATGTTGTTGTGCCAATATAGGCATCCCTTCTAGTGTGGCAAATTGTGGCTGCAGGTCGTGAAGCCCAGCAAGGGAAGCAAGTTTTGCAACTGAAACTAAAAGCTTTCAGTCATTATGAAAATGTGATGTCATTATGAAAGAACTTTGATGTCCACATTTTTTTCTTTAGGAAATATATTTGCAGCACTTTTCAAACTCCTTGTAGGTTTTCATTTATAACTTGTCTTCCCACTGTTCTAGTGTCCTGGTTGGACACCACAGAAATGCAAACGTTTTGATGCACTCTGTTGTAACAGTAGTAATTTTCAGATGGTGACCTCTTACTTCATTGTGTGCTGGGAATTATTCATAAATTTTTGCAGACATTTTTTTGCCTTCTTTGTTAAGCCTAAATATTGCTATTTTTTTTGTAAAGCAAATGCTCTTTTCCTACAGTAGAAAAATATTCTGTGCCCTGAGCTTTCTATCCTATTCTTTATCTCGCAGTCTTGGAGAAGGGGAGCATGAACAACTGAGTGCTGCTTTTTGGAAGATATTATGTGCAAGCTGTTTTCATTTTGTGTTTTAATTCTTTTAATGGGGGGGAGGAAATTCATAAAAGCTGTTATATGGAAGTTTAGGGTACTGATCAGCATAGCACAAGTATGTTTTTGGACTTTTTGAAGGAAGAATGGCTCCAGACTACTGCAGAGGTTGCTCCTATGTAATAGCTGTGGGTGGTTATGTTGCAATTTAGTTTGTATCTGAGAGAAGGTGGCATAAGATTGATAACAAAGGACAATGAGGTGGTTTGTTAAAAAGTTTTATGGATACCTTGGTGAAGGTGAAGTCAAGTAGCTTTCCATCAGGAGTAATTTGACACAAAACCTACAGACTTCATAAGTCAGCTTTTGGGTTCTTGACATGCGTGTTTGCAGTAAGCATATTGAACCAATTTAAGTTAATGATTCTGGAGTAGAGTAGCTTTGAGTGCAATCTTCTTTTGCCTGTCTGGGGGTTATTAAAGTCCATATTCCAGCATCTACTGTATTTCTGTCAGTGAATCCTAACAAAAAAACAACTGATGTTTTGGGTGTAGTTATTAGGGTTGATCCTGTTTTGCTTACTCAGCAAGGAATTGCACCTGTTCCTGTCTCTATGAGCACATCTCTAGACAGCAGATGTGTGTGGTGCAGCAGCAGGGCAGAGGTTCAGTGCATGGTTAAGGAAAATAAACACAGAGGCTCTTCTGAGCAAAGCAGGCAAGCCCAAGCTGTTAGCTGTGGTAGCTGTGTGATAGCTGTCTTTGGCATGGATGTACGGTGAGTCAGGGGATGACCAAGCACAGAGCAAGGATGTGTGTGCACACATCTTTGGGGGAAAGGGGAGCGAGAGGACCAGGGAGCCCAGCAGTAGGGAAGATCTTAATTGGGACCAGGTGTAGCTGAGCCATGTGCACAGTTGTAATGTAAATACTGTTATTTAATTGCTGTAATGATCAGCATAAAGTCAGTTGTCAGTTCTGTGTGCACTATTCTGTATGAATTGTCTGTGCTGTTTTATAAGTGGGATAATGGAATAAATGAGATACTGTGTGGTCTCAGCCTGTACATCTGGCACACATAGTTGAGGTTTGGAAGTGGTTCCTGTGGGGAAGAGTATGGCAGTCAAAGAGGTGCATCTGAATAATGTGCATTATATTCCTAAGAGGGGACCTGCCTTCTTTCTGTGTATCAAGACTAGGTTTTTCTTTCACATTTGCCTTCTGATTGTTTTCAGTATTTAACTTTTGCTGGCAGTAGAGTTGCTTTAGGATCACAAGTTGCCTGTTGTACAGCATTTATGCGGTCTGGTAATTCTGATAGGAAGCAGTGCTACATTAACCTTTTTATTTTCTTTTGGGACTTATTTGAAGAAAAGGGCTTCAAGTGTATAAGGCAAATGATGGAAAGAAAAGGAAAACACATAAAACTGATTTTGACCACTTGCTCTGATCTGAGCTTCATGATTTGCAAATGTTGCATTGGTAATCCTTAATAAACTGAACTTGTAAGTATGAAAGAAATATCCTCAGTCATGTATCTAATCTGTTGAAATTAAGACAAAATAAAAATTGGTGCCATGCAGTTTCTCTTTAGGAAATAATCTATGCATGTATATATATTTTTTCCCTTTTTGTGTAAGCTGATTATTATCGAAGATCTTTCCCACCTGAAAATTTCTGTAGAGTTACTTTAAAAAATTACAGCCAAAATAAAAATTCTTGTCCTGCTTGTGAAAATAAATATTATTTTGAAAATAAGTTATTAGTAGACCTAGGTAGAAGAACTAAATAGGTTACTTTTCTAAAGAGAAGATAAGGAGAGTCTAATATTGTGAAGCTTTTGCTGGTGTCATCTGGCTGGCCCTGTTTGATAGTGGACATGTAGCAACTCTGCCAGAGCTGAAATGAGGAAAGGTGGCTTTTAGTATGATGTCCTCACTGTTCCCTGAACCTTAACATTACAAAGGTGAGAGATATCAGTAGCCCAAGGCTTATATGATTGTCTCTTTACCAGTTCTTGTTTGTATTTTCATTTATTTAATTTCTTCTTCAGAGTTCTGGATTTACCATTTGCACTGCTTTAAAAGATTCAAATTTTCATGCTGTTGACAGAAATCTTACATATTTGGTGGTTTGAATTATGGTAGTAGCTTACAGTAGCAAGCTGTTTTTTCTTTACCTGATTTTAGTCACAGTTGTTAGAACCTTTTTGAGCTTCTATGGGAAACGAAAGAGGAACTTTTTATTTTTTGAGTTTACTGATAGAGTTTGCCGTAAAAAGAGTACAGGCTTATTTGCAATTTCTGATGCAGCTGTTGGGAAATGAGCTGCTCTACACCAGCTTCTAGCATGAATCTCTGATCACAGAAAACAGTGGTTTAAATCAATGTGGTAAGTTATAGAAAAGTGGTGTAAATATTACACCATAGGGGATATGTTTTGCAGAATAGGCTTGTGATATAATTACATGTTCATAAGAGAAAGCATCAGTCTTCTGGACAAAAAACAAATCTAATAATCTTTGTTTGGCTTTTAGGACACAGTGGGAGCTGGAATTTCCTATGTTATGTTTCACAGTTTTGAAATTCTACAAGACAAACAGTATAAAATATTGTCAGCATTGTCTAGATAGACTAAATTTTAAAAGGAAAAAAAGATCAACTATTGCAATTATGCCTATAGTTTATCAAATTTTGCTAGCTCTAACTCCATATAGCGGGTTTGTAAATTTCTTTCCAGATGTTTCCTCTTTGCCACCTTTCTGCTATTCACACTTTATTTTAGAAAATGAAAGTGAGAGGCTGACTTTATTCTCTTTACTGCATTTTCTTGAATTGTTTTAATCGAAACTCTTCAGTAGTAAAATAGGTATTTTTAATTATTTTTTTAAGGAAAGTGTCTTTTAACTAAAAGACTTTCTTCGTTAAGGGGAAAGGATCTCTGGTCAAGTTTGAATTGACACTTTGCTTCTTAAGGTGTTTCTACTGCTTATAACATCATGGATTCAACATTAAAATGTTGAAAATTAGTTTTAATGGTTTTCAGACCACTGAATACCTAAATTTGTGTCCATCTGGGAGGAGATAAGGGGTTAAATTCCCAAGTATTTGTCAAGGCAATTAGTTCAATGATCCAACAAGCCCACCTTTTAGCTACAAAACATTTCGGTAAAGACATTATTTTGAGCTTCTTTATACTGAATTTCAATAGGCCCTCCTATATGCTTTATGTAAGCCCTTTGGCATTTGTGTAGCTTGAATAGTCATGAATAAAAGAGCTTAGGGTTGGCTTTAAAGTGCAGCTTCTGAATTAGGAAAAAGAGGATTCAGATTGCCTTATGTACCCCGTTTCCTTGTCCTTCTCCTTGGGGCTAAACATTTCTGTCTGAGCAAAACTACCTTGATGTCTTCAGGTTTTAAAGAGGAAACTATTCAATGCACAGTTCACTGGCTATTTGTATATGTTTATGATATATTACAAGTAAATACCTCTGTCTCTTGGGTAGATCTAAATATGTCCTTTGAGGGCTTACACTGAAGTACATGTTGGTATTAGACTTCTCTCTTGAGAGAGATACGTGTATGGATGTAAATGTGTGTTTACTTATATATTTATGTGAGCCTATATTTATTTATCTAAGCATGTACTTGGCTTTTAGGATCTAGGCTTACCAGGTCTTTGTGAAAGGAGATTTTTTTCTCAACCCATTCAGTATTGTTCACAGCATTAACACATCAGTGAACAAATTGCCCTCTTGCATATGCTAATCCTGCACTTAAAAGAACTCATTGTAACACATTTTAATGCTTTAGCTGGAACTGAGATGGAGATGGGAATCGGGAATCACAGGCATATCAAATTGTCATGTGACTGAAAAATGTCTAAAATGCTCTTTGGGTCAACAGTTTGTACTTAGCATAACTTAGCATGAATGAAAGCAGTCCATGTAGTTTGAGGAAAAGATTAGTCTTTGCTTTTGTCTTTTGTGTGCCTGTGTTGGCCTCAGTATTTCAGATCAAGTCTGATTAAGCAACACTTTAGCCTTAATTTCACACTAGTAGTGAATGTTATGCTGGAAGTAAAAATATTTGATCGTTGTTTGCAATACATTTGTTCAAGGAATCCAATTGGAGTTTACTCCAGCTAACAATTGATTACTGCCTAACCGTATTCAGCAAATGCTTGTTATTTTAGGCATAAAGGCAAGCTGGTATTTATCTGTCCACACCTGTAGGTGTGTAAGCCTCATCTGTTTATGATGTTCTAAAAGTGACTGGTCAATCAGATTGTGCAGTAAATCTCTTTTATTATATGGCATCTGAATATTAAAAAAAATAATAAAATCGTTGCTCATGAATAAACCACAAGCCTGCTTCTTCTCCCAAACAATAAATTCAGTTGAATTAATTAGTTAAATAGATGGTGACTGACAAGTGAACTGAACTTTTGATAAGTTGAACAATGAAAAGCCAAGCTTCTTAGAATGCATGAAGCTGTACATGTTTGCCTGGAGGACTTTGTTTTGAATTAAATTGATTTAAAGACTAAGTAGGTATCACGTTTCTAAAGCATCTATCACATCAGTTTGAGTTTTTAAGAATATATGAAGGAATTCTAAAAGGCATTTTTGATTGACCTTGTTTTTTGTCTTTACAGAGTAATTCTCTGTTGGTCCCCGACAGTCTACGAAGCACAGATAAACGCAGGAATGGCCCTGAATATGCCAATGACATCAAAAAGAGAAAGGTGGATGATAAGGATTCCAGCCACTATGTAAGCAAATCTGTGTCAAGGAAATGATTAATTTATTTGCACAAACTGTGCTTGTACGAGGAGTAAAAGAGCTGTGAAGAGCGAGGCAACTTTCCTCGTTCGGAAGCAGTGGGTGCCAGAGAGGCACAGGATTCAAACTGTTGGAAGAGTAGTGGCTCAGTCCTTTGGGATATTGTGAAGTGATAGTCCTCAATTGGAGTAGCTGTTTGGGATTCATGAGTGCTCTGGGGCATTTTTTAGAGTTTAAGTGACATTCTTTCTGGAGTGCACTAGAAACTGCGGGTTTGTTTGAAATGGAGGATTTTGTGATTGAGAGGGGTTTGGTAAATTTTAATTGATAAGTAGCTATTACCATGCTGAGTTATAATTATCATTCAAAATTGCATATGCTGTCAGGCATATGCCAACTTATTGAAGTTTACTTTTGGCTGATACACCAATTCCAGCAGAAAGCAAATTGAAATATTGAAAGTTTGGAGATTTGTGTTCTGCATTTTTGACTAGCTTGCTAGTTGCCTGGTTTCAGAGAGACACTTCAGTACAACAATGTGTGTGAACACCAGAAGATTCACATAGGCTTTTGACTTCAAATCTAAATGCTCAGCCAAAACACAGGATGGTACTTGAACAGGCTGAAGAGACTAGGACTGGTGTGAGAGACTACTGAAAAGCAAAATTTAAATCTAATAGAACATAGTGTACTTTGACAGAGCAATGATGTGGCAAATTGTCTGGTTTATGTGATTCAGATCACTAATTAATTCTTAGTTACCGAAACCCAAGAGTTAGGTGCCATTTTATTTTCTCAGTATTTGGTAGGGTAATTGTAATTTTTCTCCACTTGGATAATATCTTTGAGCAGCTTTTAGATATTTTAGTTCTGTTAAAGGTTTTACAAGTTGTATTTGCACCACTTTCTAATAATAATAATGTTTTGATTACAGAAAGGTTTGGCAAACTTCCCTATGTTACTCTCTCAACTTTAAGGGTTTGATACTCTGCTGACATTTTTCATTTTAAATATTTGGAGATCAAGCATTCTTAAGCTACACTTGATATAAAAAAGAAGAAAAAGCTTAATTTAGTTGTTTTTCTTGTGTTTCTACCATAAAGAAATGTAAAGGATGCTATTGCACAGAAGAATCAGTTTTTAATCCACATTTTAAAGATGTTTCTATTTGCTGTTTGTTTTAAATGGATTTTACAGATAAAAGCAGCATCAAATTAAAAAATGGAGTAAAGCAAGGATATTTGAACGTTCCAGATTTATTCCAATTTTGAAAATGATTTATTTGCTTTTTTGTGTTTTCTTTGGGATTTTTTTAGGGGGTTTTTTTGGGTTCTTTTTTTTTTTTTTTTGAAGGTCCACCAATTAAGCAAAAATAGAGCTGCTGATTAAGAGCTCATTTTAGATGAATCCCTTTTAGGGACGAGGAAATACTGCTTTTGTGAGAAGGGGCATGAATGAGTTGTGGGACCTGTAACTTTTGGAATAAGAATGAAAAGTGAATTTTTTTTTTTCCCCTTTTTTAACTTTTGACTAATTTTCATAGTACTACTTATGTAGTTTCGGCGTGTGACTTTATTATTGAGGAGAATCATATGATATTAGTAGAAGTAACAGGAGATGCCTTTGATAATCCCAGGAAATTTCTATCTATTAAGAGCACAAAGTCCATGGGGTTCACTTAAACATTGTCCAACTCCAGAGGAGTGTTTCTGGCAAACAAGTATCCCTTCTCCCACATTCTCCCATGTTCTCCCACGTTCCTGTTCTAGCACTCTAGGTGCTTCATACGTCTCAGGAGGTGGCAGATAACTGGAGCTAAAGCTTTCATGTCCTTTGTTTGGACCTGTTGATGGGATATTGGATTTGCTACTTGCATAGCAAATAGAGTGATCCTACCGTATCCAGTGGATCTCTAATATGTTTGTGGTATTTCTTGGAGCAAGATTCATCTGCTAACAGAAGGGAAGAGTTGAAACTACCTGTAGGTTAGGGGTTTTTTTTTCAGATGGATTTTTGGGGGTTTTTTTGTTGGTTGTTGGGTTGATTTGGGGTTTCTTGTTTGGTTAGTTCTGCGTGGCTCAGTTTTGTTTTGTTTTTTTAAAGCACTGTGGCCTGAAGAAAGAGGAAGGATCTAGTGTTACATGGGAAAGCTCAGACACTTTTAAAGCAAGAGATGGAGAACACTTGATCAATCTTGTATGTCTGGTTTGTTTGCGCAGAAGCTTTTTAACAAAAAGTATTTTCATAGGGAATGTCAAACTTGTTCCCACAAAAATTTAAAGTTTTGACATTCACTTCATTTCTTTGTTTGATTTTGAGTAGAGACTTGCCTTCTGATTGAAACAGTCTGTGGTACTGTGGAAATCACTAGACCTCTGTGTGTCAGAAAGGGTCTTCTGGGACATCTTGGTCTCTGTTGGGGAGAGGGACCAGGAGGCACTACAGTAGCAGCAATCTTTAGTGGACCAGCTCAGGTGAACATCAGTCTAGGTGAAGCAGTCAAAATGCAGCTTGACAAGCTTCAGTAGAACATTTCTGTTGGGGGACATCTGAGTATTTTGCTTTTCTTGGGCAGAAATGTTGAAATGCCTTGGCATTTCTGAAGTTTTTTCTTCCCAGAACTTTTGATTTCAAAACTTGCCTTTCTGAAAAAAGGGGAAAAATGGTACTATCACTTTAAGGAAGATGATTCATCAAGTGTGCCAAAAAGTTCCATTTTCCTGCAATCTGTTTTTTGGTGTTTTTCCAGGTATGCACAAGCAGTACTTTGTCTAAATTAATGCAAGATTAGTGTATGAACAGAGTACTTTTCTCTTTTAGGAGTAGTGATGACACTGTTTATGATGGGAATAAAGAGGGGTTTTGGACCATCTTGTGCTGATGGTCCCCATCTTTCAACTAGTTCTACCTTACTTAGGTTTCACTGATGTAGCATAAATAAGGTGTTGTGTTTCTGTTTGAATTGTTCTCCCTATTACTTATAACTTAATGAAAGGCTGTTTGTTTTTTGTTTAGAAAAAACAAAATATGTCTGAGTAGATGCGTAGTCTTTCTGTCTGGGCTCTTATTGTACTAATTGAAATGAACACTATATTTATTTATTTTTAATAGGACAGTGATGGGGACAAGAGTGACGATAACTTGGTTGTAGATGTATCCAATGAGGTAACTTTTTTCATTTTTGTAGTCTTGACATTTGCCCAAAGGTGAAAGGAAAAGTACATTCAGTTGTTAGAAGAAAATTTTTGCGCTGTGTGGATATGTTAAAATATTCACAACTTCTCCTTTTTATTAGTACTGTGTCTTCCTCTGAGCTTTATCTGGTTCCCTTCTCCGTCTTTCCTTCTGCTTTGTCCAGGTCTGTTCTCTCCATAGTTAATATTATGACACTTCACAGCTGCTCTGTAGTGTTAGAGAGTTATGGTGAAGTGCAGGTGGAAGGCTGAGGTTTTTCAGACTACGGCCTTTGAATGAAAAAGGGAGACATTATCTAACGTTGTATTTCATAGTAGAATTGTTATTAAAAAAATTACCTTAAAAATTCCTGGTATTTTAATCTCCTGTGTTAAAGACATTTCCCAGAAATACTGATTTTATAGAATGAAGTTAGTTTACAAGATTTTCCAGAGATTGTAGACAATTTTTTTCCTCCAGGGCTGAGATTTGATAATGGCATCAAGGTAAAGGGATGAGTGCTCCCTTTTCTTCATCATTTATTTTATATAATACATAGATTTAGGAAGCCTGAATATGGCAGTGATGTTCTTCAGGTCTGTGAAAAGCACAGGGAGAGAAGCTGGTAGAGAAGTGTCCTCAGTAGCTCCAGGTGCCTGAACGATGTCAGCCAAGTAGAAAAATGGGTATCCAACTAGTGATTTTAGTAATCCTTTCAGAAGGTTGGCTTACAATGAAACTGCTTAATAATCAGTCAGTAGACTTATTGCCCTTTTGTGAGGTATGATTTCTCCCTGGTGCTATTCTTATGAGCCAAAGGAGCGTGGAGAACCTGCAGAGCTCTGATAGCATTGTAACTCATGGGACTGGCTATTTCAAGTTAAAGTAAATGCAGAGAGTGCCTCTGGAACAGAGAAAAATAATCACCTGAGAGGTGATTTCGGTTTTCCTATAGATTTAAGTGGCAAGGCAATTAAAGATGGCGTTTAGCAAAAATGTGACAGCTATTATGGCATATAAAGATCCCTGTAAGGGCCATTCCACTTAAGAGTTGGACTCGATGATCCTTGTGGGTCTCTTCCAACTTAAAATATTCTGTGAAATCTGTGAAGGCATGCATCTATCTCTTCTTCTGAAGGCAGAGATGAGCAAGGACTTTATCACCTCAAAGAGGTTATTGAAATGTTTATTAAGACTAGCAGAGCATGGGGAATGTACATGATAAAAAGAGTGTCAAGTTACTGCAGTTTCTGTTGGTCTTCCTTGCTCTTGCACATTTTCCGCACTTGCTTTAGTTTGTGCTTAGGTATGCTTTGCAAGCTTTGTACTTGGAAACAATTTATGATTACATGTAGTGTAAAATAAAACCAGATTGCTTACTGTATGACTTTATTTACTTCCCTAGGCTGATGAAGGGATTTCAGCTTTTTTTTTTCTATGGAGATAACAAAATATCTTGTAATTTGCACTTACTGCTTGAATTCTTCTAGTTTTTTTTCTTTTTCCCTTAGACTCCTGAGTGGTGTTTGTGTACCAATTTATGACACAGTTCTACGCTGTTCTTCCCTTCCCATTGTTTTAGGATCCTTCTTCCCCAAGGGCAAGTCCCACTCATTCACCACGTGAAAACGGTATAGATAAAACCCGCCTACTGAAGAAGGATGCCTCCAGCAGCCCAGCATCCACAGCCTCTTCAGGAAGCTCCACTTCCCTCAAATCCAAAGAAATGGGCCTGGTAGGTAGCAGTCTGTGGTCTTTCTTGTACTTGTGGAACAAATTACCTGGTATTAAACATTTGTGGCTGAAATTTGCCACCGTTTTTCCAGATCTTTAAAGTATTATTGAGCAGTATTTTCTGCCTTGTTTTGATTTCTTGTATTTCCTACATTTCTGTCAAACTAGTTGCAAATTTATTGCAAGGAGCAAGAGTTTCTTAATCACTGGTTTGGTTCTTTTTGGGAGCAAGGACTTACGGTTTAACATGGCCTGTATGTAGTCTCTAAGAAGTGCTTCAGTCTTTTGTTACTCTTCTAAATAAGCTGTTATTCCCTGGAGACTTTTTCTTATAGTATCACTAATAATTTCATCTGATTCTCTCTAACTTTTGTGCCTTTTTTTTTTTTTTTTTTGGATACTATCAACTGTGGTGGTATTTTGTGTGTCCAGTAATAATTGAGATATTAATGACTTCAAGTTAAAATAGTTTGGTAATGCATACTGTATTTTCCTGAAGAAAAAAATCAGCTCAGGCATTCCTTTTTTTATGTCAGTAGAAGAGGAAAAATAACTTTCTGCGTTTCTTATTTTAATTTTGGCAGCAATCAAAAAGGTCAACATTTCTCTCTCACGAGTTAATGTTGTCAGCATTGTGTGGATTTATGAAAATTGGCTGAGGGACTAGCTAGTAGGTGCCCAGCATCCCAGCTGCTGTTGTGATAAATTGTATAATATGGCCTGGATTAAAAATAATACTCATTTAATTTGTTTAATGATACCAGCATGAGAAAGCCAGCACGCCTGTTCTGAAATCCAGCACACCGACTCCTCGAGGTGATGTGCCAACCCCAGGCACTAGTGCAACTCCAGGACTCCGTCCAGGCCTTGGCAAACCTCCAACAATGGACCCTCTGGTTAACCAAGCTGGTAAATGCATTACCTCATGTGTTTTTATGGTTCCAAAATTAATCTTTTTTTTACACATGTGGCTGTTAACTAAATATATTGCTTAGTTCTTGATATCAAGAGAGGGCTTGATGAGAAGCAGATGTTTGGATTATCAGGAGTTTGAATATCTTTCTGTCTCTTAGTCTTCTTTGTTTACTTTTGTCTTTATCTTTTTTTTTTTTTGCAAATAGTCCAGGGACTGAATGCAATATAAAAAGACTTCTCAGAAGTTTCTGGTACTTATTCTGCATGCAATCTCTTCTACAGTCTTTGTCTGAGTCTACTAATATTTGCTGCAGTGCACAGCTTGACAAATGCTGGGGGAAGTTTACTTTTGCTATTCAGGCTGGTACACACAGTTGCTTCAGACATGAGCTGTGTAAACCATGTCTGTCAGCTTTACTGCTTAATTTGGCAAAGAAGAGATTAATGTAAACAGGGGAATATTACAGAAATGGAAATAGGTAATGCCAGAAGAGATTGCTAGAAGTAATCATCAAGTTCAGACTTCAGTAGTTCTTATTTACACTGAAAAGAGCTGGTGGTACTGACAGATTATGGCAGTGTTTCTTGGCGGTGCGTGAGAGGGAAAGGTGAGGTGTTTTAGGGGAGAAAAAAAGGGCTTCTTTCCTGGATGCAGAAATACATATATAAACCCACTTGATTTCGTTGTTCTGTAGCTGCAGGTTTGCGGACACCGTTGGCAGTACCAGGACCATACCCGGCTCCATTTGGAATGGTACCTCACGCTGGCATGAACGGAGAGTTAACCAGTCCAGGGGCAGCCTATGCCAGCCTGCACAATATGTCACCCCAGATGAGTGCTGCTGCTGCTGCAGCTGCCGTGGTTGCCTATGGAAGATCTCCTATGGTAGGCCATACGTTGCATGCAATCTCAGTCCTGTGAGTTGTGGTTCACTGAGAAAAGCTACATGCTTCATTTAGCACTGCAGAATTCCCAGCTCAGAGCAGTGCCAGAGGCTTGACAGCTTCACCGCGTGCTTCGCTGCATGCTTCACTTCGTTGCGTGGCTGAAGAAACAAATTTGCACCTTGAAAACAAAGAAAATCAGTGTATTAATGTATGTTTTCTTTTTGTCCTTCACCTTCATCAGGGCTTTAACTGATGAATAAATGCAAAAAAAATATTTTGTGCTGCTGTAAATAAAATAGTTTTGGTAGATACAGAGTACTTCACTGTAGCTTTTTTGCTGCTGAGCCACATTTGTGTTCCATATAGACACAACAAATTAATCTTGAAGCATGTAAAAGTCTTTTTATCTGGGTCTCTGTCCCTGTATTTTGTTGGGCTTTTTTGTGGAAATCAACCTGAGAAGTTGGTCAGTACCTATTTTGGAGCTCTAAGATCAGGTATGTTAAGAATAGTTGCTGTTGAGGGTGTAGTAAGTAAATGGAACCTGCCAGTTATAGTGGCTGTCACAATAAAAAATAACTGAGGGGCCTGATTCTGCAAACATGAGCTTGATGGCAGCTTTCTGCATAGACAAACTTACCTACTTGTAAATTTGCAAAATTGGATTTAGGCTTGTCAACTCGTTTGCATGACCACTGTTTTTGAACTGGTAAAAAAAGGGACTTTTATGTGAAAATGTGTAAATTTTAAATAGCCTACACACTCCTTTTAAAGCAATAACAATGTTTATTCTAGTATAACATTCAGAGGAAAAAAAAAAAGTCTTTTTGGTTTGGAATTTCTGCTTGGACTATGATAAATATACTTACTCGATATAAAAATTCAGTGGAACTGCAATATGTAAAGAAAATACAGGTTTTTTTAAGCTGTGGACAAGCTTGTTTGCACCCCACAGTGTGTCTCTGTGAGAGATCTCTCAGCTGCTGTGCCTACACAGAACGCTGTGGAGGCAGTGAGATCCTAGCTGGCGCCCAGAGCTAATTTCCAGCACCACACTGTGCCAGCCTGAGTATGTGCTAGCTCTCTCAGGAGTAAAGAGCGCTGACATGGACTCTTAATTCCAGGGCTAACACAGGACTCTCCCTGCTAACCAGGACCGCTGGGTTATGTTCAGTGGTGTGAATGCATGATAAATTGTTTTCTGCTTCCATATGAGTGCTTCTATCAGAAGTATGCTTAGGGAAGAAGGTCTGGGTTCTGCCCCCCAGGGGAGGGTCATGCAGTTATCTGATGCTGTGGGTAAAAGCCACTTTTTTGGTTAAATGCATAATACCTTGGGAGTGGAGAAAAAAGAGTTGCTGAGAAATGGATGACAAATTCCAAGTGTGAGATTAATTTCCTTTTCGTTGTCAGGTTGGGTTTGATCCTCCTCCTCACATGAGAGTACCTGGAATCCCTCCAAATCTAGCAGGGATTCCTGGGGGAAAACCGTAAGTAACTTTTAATATTTTGGTAACATCTGCAGTATTTAGAGGGAATGAAGTTATATTTTTCAGTGAACAGGGATTTCAAAGGGGATAGTGTCTGATTGTTTTTAAGAGGGTGTTTTAGACTTCTGCAGGTAAAGTCTGCAGCATAAAATTTCTCAAATGGTAGTTGTCATATCCCAAAACGTGTGTGTGTGTGTGTGTCCTGTTTCCAAGGAAAAGTTGTTGGTTTTACTTTTAATTTTTTTTTATTTCCTTCTTTTTGGGGAAAGTTAAGGGGACTACAAGCCGAATGGTAAATACTGGTAAAACCTGCTAGATAAAAATACATTGAAACTAAAATTTGCACTACACTGAGTTTGGTGTATTACAATTTGCACTACACTGAGGATAAACGTGTCGTGTGAACTTTCAGACTCCTTGTCTGGCACTTGTTTTATCCGTCATGGGAGTCTGCAACTGGTGACAGTGGGTATCTGGAGCAGTTACTTTAGCAACAGATTACACACACCGTGCATAATGGAGCAAGCTATTTAGAACTTTTGTGTGAGTGCAGCTGGAGAGCAAAAGGATGATGAAGCAGTTGTGGAACAGGTGGTGCATAGATACAGAAGAGTTTCCACAATAAGTTCTTTTTATTTAAAAGTTTTGGTTATAAGTGAAGCAGTTATTAAATAAAATGCTTCTGTGGTTCTGTGACTTACTGATGTTTCAATAAAATAAATTCAGCAGCATACATGAAGTGTTTCAGTAATTTGGCTTTGGTAGACCATTGACCCTGAGGTTAACCAGCACAGTAGACTCATGAGCACGTGTGACCTCTGAAAATACATAATTAATGTCTAGGTATTTCTGGATAAGTAGTCCAAGCAGGTGCTAACAGAGCAAATGTAACTCTGCTGTTTTTCTGGACAGAATGAGGCAGAGAGAATTCTAACATTTTTTTCAACACTCTGTTAGAACCTGTTCTTTGTTCACACTGAGCAGTCAGTCCTGACTTCTCTTTCAACAGGAACTTGCAATTAGAGTAGTTTTTCTCTACTTAGGTACTTACATAATTTTGAAACTTATTTAATAAATTGCACTTTCTGGGTGGGATGGGGGATGTGTTACATACTACATCTCAATCCAATTTAATTTTTCCTTTTGCAGTTTCAGGAAACATTTAGAAACTTTTATTTTTAGGATGCTAAGCTGTGGTGAAAGTTACATACTCACCTATTTCTATTTGCTTTGATTTTGGACTCATGTTAGTAACTAGTGATACCTTGTAATGTCAGTCGTACAAATGTCCTTGAAAGCATACCAGATTACAGGCAAAAAAGTGTACATTTTCTTCTGATCTTTTCCTAGAACAAAAGGAAAGCAGCAGACTTAGTTTGGAAAGCCATCTGATTGTGTTTTTGTGGTTATCCACTATGCTTCTGGGAAGCATGATAGATTCTTAGTTATCTGTTGACAGGGTGAGAAACCTGTTAAATCTTGGTTGTACTTAAAGTTGGTAGTGTGTTGACAAGATTAGTGAAGTGAGGGCTCAATGAGTTGGTGTTGTGTATCTAATGTGTATTTAAATTTAATGCAGTAAGGATCAGGCTTTGTACTCAAAACTCAGACACATTCTCGCTGACTTTCATAGAATTTGGCATACTTAAATAAAATGCTTTTGAAAATCGCATAATTGAGTGGCTCTAAGTTTTTACTTCTAAACAAGTGTATTCATAAGCTCTCAATAACGTTTCATTACTAATGCCTTGCAATGTTGCTACGTTGTAATCTAGTGAAACCTATTTTTGTTCAATCATAAATGTTCTGTGGCTGAGTTCTAGTTGTTACACTGTACAAGACCAAAGGACAGCATATGTATACTGCTGTACTTTGTATCCTGGTAATTTAGCTAAATGACCATCAGGGGTGGGAGGAAGCAGGGTGGGAGTTGCTTGGATTTTTCTAATGTTTTTACCACTTCATTCACACTGCTTCATGTACTGCCTACTTTGATACATACTCCCTAGTCTCAAATTCATTTAACTCCACTTCATGTGTTCTGCAATATTTGGGGCTTTTTGTGGTCATGTTACTTGTACGTTTCTTCTAAAATTACTTCTTTGCTTATCTTAGTGAAGCAAGGCTAAAATTCTGTAAACTCATGGAATTGTCTTTCCACTGACAGCTATAAAACAATGTCATGTCTTAGTCTTGATTGGCTAGAGGCTGTCTGCTACCTGCAGCATTTACGAGTATCTCACCAACTTCAGGTTTTCCTCCTGTATTTTCAGATAGAATCATGCCAATATTTGCAGATAGAATCATGCAAACTGGTGGAGTACGCCTTGCTTATTTTCAAAATCAGCCTTTTTCCTGAGTGCAGATATGGTGACACATAGAATTTGTTTTATTAAATGTGACATTTTAGTGAGTCTTGTTGTAAGTGGTGCAGGGAATTTTCAAATTGAACTACTGAATCCCCACTCATATGTGTATGCTTTAGGCTGCACATTTTTTATCAACGGTTATGCTTACACTGTTTTTTTCACCCAAGAGAAAATTATGTTCCCTTCTTTCTAAAGGACAGACACTTCTGGTGGCACCCAGGTTTTTATAGCCCTTGTATGTTCTGAGATCTGTTAATGACCTGCTTGTTAGAAAAACATGTAGCTTGTTAAAAACCCACTTGGACATGAACATGTGGTGTCTGGGTCCTGAACTCTTTTGGTTTGATGACCTTAAATATGCCCTGGACTGAAATTTTTGGTGTCTTGCTCTAATATTTTTATTTTTTTTTATGTTTTGCTTTGCATAGTCTTTCTAATAAGTATTTAGCTTTTACTATTCTATAGCTGCTAAATTAACATTCTTATGGATTTCTGGTTTGTGTGAACCATGCCTTCTAATAGTTGGATTGTGGACTAAATACAGAGTTTTAAGATAAGTGCTAAGATTTATGTCCACAGTACTTGCTTCCCTGATGTCTAAAATTCTGAATTAAAGGTAGTACTGAGGACAAATATATTTCTCACCATGTTTTCCCAGACAGTGAAAAGAGCTGAAAATACATGTTTTTCCATTTTAGTAGAACAGGGAAACTTGACATGCTAAATGTTAAATCTTTCTCCTTCTACTTATAAGCTGACTTTTCATTGTGTGTTTAGAGGTCTACTATACTCTTTTGGAATTGCTTGATTTCAGTTCTGTTTTGTTCATCAGATCTTCATACTTTTACAGTGAATGGATAATGAGAGATATTTATTGTAAAGGAAGCCTAATTTTATTGTATTGTAGGAGATTAAGGGGCTGTGTGCATCCCTGCCGTTCATCTCTAAATAGAATTTTTTGGTGACGTGTATAAAGATGAAAATTCAGTCATTTCTGCACAAATGCCTCTATCCTTATTTCTTGACTTTTTGTTCTATATGATGAAACAACAACAGATATTCACTGTTTATTGTGATAACTACAATTAAAAATGAGCTGGAGTGCAAAGAAAAGCTGAAAGCAAAATGCAGTCATGAATGGGAGGAACGTTTTGCTTTCATGTTTTGCTGTCAGGGTATGGTTGTGCTACTTAAAGAAGTCTGCTTGAATTGAAAGGATGAAGTGAAAGTTTTTCAGGGATTTTTTAAGGCATAGTACTTTAGTAGGCAGTGAGTTCATTTGTACATCAATCTGAATACTTGGAGTAGATGGCAGGTAGTTTATTTATTTTAGTTTAATTTGCTATGTTCTTGGGTAGTGAATTATCCTGAACCTCTCCTCAGCGTGTCAGATGGTACTTGCTGTATACTTACTTTGAAATTAGCAAGTTAAGCTGAGAAACTGGTTTGTATTAGTGTCACTTAACCATGTTGCTGTGCATAGGAACTCTGCAGATTCCCGGTGTTGCTTTGTCACATGAGAGAAGTCTCTGGATGCAGTAATTCAGAAGACTATTCCCATTATTCAAAATAATATAAGTGACAGTATACTAATTGTCAGAACTCTTCTAAGTAAAAGGTGCAGAAGTTTGTCTTGAAATCATTCTTTTCATAGTATTCAGTTAATTAATAGTGTATATTTATGTATTACATGATATATACTTAGCTTATTTTATATTTAATTTTAATTGCATTTTTATAAGATAATTTTCTTTGTTTGTTCTTAGCACACCACAAGGAAGGACACTCCTTTGACTAAATAGGGATAATCATGGAATCCATCATAGCATAGCTGTCTTTCATACAGAGTTCTCTGAGACAGAAAACTGTGCTAGTCATGAGACTAAACAGCAGTTTCTGGCATACGTGTTCAGTTCTAAAAGAAAAATGGGCAGTCAAGTGGCCTGTTAAGAAATTCTGAGCTTTAGGAAACTCAAGAATTTGCCAGATTTTGCTAGCTGTTGACTCATTTGAGGTTAGATAATGAAAATTCTTGTCATTTTTGAGCACTGAGGCCTGTGAATATGTCTAGTGTATTAAAAATTGAGTCTTCTGTAGGTGTAGAACTGTAAGTACAGCTCTCAGATGAAGCAGGATCTGTCTCATGGTGACCTGATGAAGAGAAAGCGAAGGGCTGCAAATAGTCATTTGCACTGCTGTCTCCAGTCCTGCGTTCTTCTAGAGAGAGACACTTTCCTTGTCCAGGGAGTGTCAGGAGTGTCAGCCTGGCAAATGATGCAAGCTTTTTCCAGGTTAAAAGGTATTGTTTAGTGGAAGATATACCATAATAACTAGCAGATACAAGTCACTAGACTATCATACCATAAGTATACTGGCAGTGGTGATGTTAGCATTACATGCCACATATCTTCCAGCAAACAGGAACATTTTCTGCAGATACTGCAGTCAGGAACAACACACAGATTCACATGCTTGTCTTGGAAGAGGGATTTGGCAAAGTGTAGCCATTTCTTTCTACAGTGGATTGCAGATAAGTTGCACTGTAGAAAAAACTGTCTTGGCTTGTAAGAGACTATCGCTGGTCTCTTTGTTAGACCATCAAACTCAGTCATCCTGCCTCCTGATCAACCAGTGTTAGAAACAAATGCTAAAAAAGAGTGACTGTTTCTAAAATTAGCATAGCCCCACTTTAAACGTAGACATATTGGTAAAATTCTGCATGATTAAAAAATACAGCCTTGTATCTCTGATGTTTCAAAGCATAAAAGTCATTACAATTCTACAGTAAACAGGAAGTGCTTGAAAAATGTTTCTGTTGTCTCCTCCACACCCCATCTCAGCAAGAACTGTGTGCACACTTAAGCATTTCAAACCACGAATTATTTAGGTATTTTGAATTGAACAGAACATTTAAGCTGTAACCTTCAAATAAAAAAAAGTCACGGACAAGTAGATTATTCATCTTGGACATGCTGGAAAAAATTGCCTAATATGTGCTTAATTGTTTTGCTTCAGTCCATGATAAAAGCAAGGGCGGGCTGAAACTTCAAAGTTGTGCGGTTCTGTGTACTCTTACTGCTAACAAATACTCTGCAACTGACTTTGATCTGGAGCCCAGGATGGGGCCAAGATTTTCAAGGTCTTAAATGCTATGACTCTTTTGTTGAATTCCGTAGATGAACCCGAGCAGTTCAGCCTCAAGCAGTCTTGTTGTCACTCCTGTTCTGCTTCCTCTCCTGTCCTGTGTCCGATCTGTTTAGTGAATAGCTGCTTCGGCAAAATCTTGTCTCTCCTCTTTTCCACAGAAAGGAATGGGTTTCTAGTTAAGTCTATCATTACTGTAATTCTTCATACAAAAAGCCAGAAAGGGTCCCAGTGGGACAAAATACATTTAATATACTGTATGCCTTGTGTACATGTAAGGGAATGAACACTGCACTTCCTTTCTTATCCTACATTTCCCATTCCCGACATTTCTCTGATAAAAAATACGTCATCTTTTGTGCTTGCTCCTCCTCTATTTCTATTACTCTCTGAGCAAGCTTTCTGCTTATACATCCAACCATGTAAATTCCATACAGGAATCCAACTATAAATGAATACAGGGATTGCGTACATATGCACTATTAATTTTTCCTCTGTTTAAGACCAGTTACTGTTACTGCTAACCAGCTTTTACCCTTCACTTAAGGAAAAACTGTGTTGTTGCATGGGTTGATTGTTTCCAGTCTTACTTTCTGTACGAAAAAGCTGTAGTGTTCTTTCATCTCTCCTCATGCTTTTTCAATGGAATATCTTATGCCCAGGAGCAGAGCAGATTCAGTTGCTTTGTGATGTCTGTTCCAGAACATCAAGGCATCATCCTTGTTCCTTTATTTCAAAAAAATACTTGGGAACACATAATATCTTGAAAATACTAGCTTATTATTCAGAACAGAAAATTTAATAGAAATATCTATTGTTGGGTTCTTGGAAGATAGATGTGATGCTAATAGTTGAGCTACAGTGATTGAAGATTTCTGAGGAAGAAAGTAGATTTGGAAAAGAAAGGGAAGTTCTGAACAAAGGAATATATTAGAAAAAGATCTAATATCAGTAGGGAGATGGCAGCTCATTAGTGAAAAAAAAAAGAATACTCATCTCTCACCATTTTTATCCACTTTGGCCTCTTGAAGAATGCTGTTGATGTAACAAAAGCATGAGCTATAGATGCACCTAGAACAGAAGTAAAAGAAAAGGATCTCACTAGTATAGCAAAACCCAGCCTTTTACACTAGTGTGTTCATAATTGGTTAAAATAAGGAAACAAGCAACACCCCTGCACCTGAAACCTTTATTAGTTGGTGTTTGTAGCCTTGTCCTTGAGTACAGCTGAACTTAAACTTTTCAGTGACCATGAAAAAATAATTTCATGTACTTTCTATGTGTACATACACTGTTTTTATTCAGTGCTAGAATGTCACTTCCTCAACCCTCCGTTTCCATAAACTTGAAATCATACAATGAATGCAAATAAAACATTTCTGAAGTGCTTAAAGTACCTGGAAAACTGAGATGTTCATGTTTTTCATTATACTTATTCATGAAAACAAAATTATGAGAAGATACTATCAGCTTTCTGATGAAGTCTATGTGCAACCACTCCATCTGTTTCTATGTTCTGTTTAAAACACTACTTACTGGCTAGAAAGATGGGTATATGAGCACAGCCATTGGTGATGTTAAGGATGAGATGCAGGAATCAAGCAGAACTTCTGCTTGTGGTACTGCAAGGCAACAGGTGCAAGCCTCGTGGAAGAATGAGAGTAGTGCCTGGTGAGGGACTGCTGCTGTAGGACTTGTGGTGATGAGACTTGTAACTCCTAGCTAGAAACCAGAAAGGTCTTTTGATTGTCTAAGTTGCTGAGGGATAGCAGCCATGACCTTGGTCTGTAGAGTTAAGGGTGGAATTTTAGCAGCTTCCCCATTGCATAAATACTTCAGCTGAGGCAAGCTGAAAATTTCTACTGTGAATCCTTGTCTCCTTCTGAGATTTCATCTGCCTGTATTACTTGGCACTGTAGCTCTGATTTTTGTGGGATGATTAGCAAAGAACTAAAATTAAAAATACTGTGTTTTTCTTGCATTGAAGTTATGTAATGGCTGATTTTTTAAATTGTTTTGTCTTCTCTTTCCCTTCCCCAAAAGAGCCTACTCCTTTCATGTTACTGCAGATGGTCAGATGCAGCCAGTTCCTTTCCCTCCTGATGCCCTCATTGGTCCAGGAATCCCTCGCCATGCCCGTCAGATCAACACCCTGAACCACGGGGAAGTTGTGTGTGCAGTTACCATCAGCAACCCCACCAGACACGTCTACACGGGTGGGAAGGGCTGTGTCAAGGTCTGGGACATCAGCCAGCCTGGCAACAAGAGCCCTGTCTCCCAGCTGGACTGCCTGGTAGGTGAACAGGAATTTATGCACAAGGGTAACTTTTCTTTAGAGGCTCAAAAAAATAAAAAAAAAATTTAAAAAGCTGGCCTTGTTTGGATTTTGTTCATGTTAGGAGGTAATAGAAGGCAGATCTGTTTCCTGATGTCCTTTTTTTTTTTTTCCCACATAACGGTGTTACAGAGAATAGTGCTGGTTTGTTTAGTGATAATTATCACTAACTATCTGCTGTCAAATACCAGATTAGATCAGATTTATTAATAGAATGTGTACATCATGCTTTGAATAGAATGTTATACTTTTTTTTTTCCTTTCTAGATATACTGATGATTTTTGTGCATGAGTTTAAAAGGAATGTAGCTTGTCTTATGCAGGGCGACAGAGAACTTTCCTAGGCCTTTTATTTACATAAGGAGCAAAAACTTCATTTTTGTAAGATGATAGAAACCACATACTGAAATAATATGACACAGTACCAAAGGTTACTTTAAGTTTTGCTCATTATCTACTAGTTATACATATAGGCAAATTATTTTTACATGAGCAGGGTACAGAAGGGACTGGGTGCTGGTATATGTAGCTGAAAAGCTAACTCAAGAAAGGTAATGCTTCTCACTGGAAGCAGCATAGAGATTTGTGCAGTGTTAGCTGAGAAGACTTAGCATTGTCAAGCACAGCAATACATATTGTAGATGAAAATTCTAGCTTCAGTGTTGATCCAGTTAAATGTGGTGGGAGTTTTTTGGGGTTTTTTACCCTTTATCTTTTCTTTACTGCATTATTTTCTGCATTAACTTTACATTTTGTAATTGTCTAGTGGTAGTAGTGAAGTTGAATAGATATTCTGTTCTGTGGCAGGTATCAGTCTGGATGCAGAGCCTTAATCTTAGTTATGGAGCAGTAATGACTGATTAAGTCAACAGTTTCACTGCCCTACTTACTGCTCCTTTGTTGAAAATTAAAAAAAAAAAACAAACGTAGGAATGCTTTTAACTACTTCTTGCAGTGTTTTTTTCTATGTTTTGATTTAAAGATCTTATTCATCCATTTTGTAAAGAACTGTTGCCAGTCAAGCAAGGATGTAATAAGGAAAGGTAGAAATGTCTTCTGTCACTAACTCCCCCACAGTACCTCTCAAATCAACAATAGTATCACAAATGAGAGATCAGTATGTGCCATAACAATCATGTTGAACAACAAAGGACCAACATAAATACAGGACTGATACAGGAATCTTTAATCTTTCAACTTTAATACTGTGAATGCAAAATAGTATTTGAAAGAAAAATTCAAAAATCTGAAGGGCATGAGACTAGAATGACATTTTCATACAGGGCTGTTAAATGCCAAATGAAAGGTCATTTGCTTTAATATTTCTATTGTTGCTAACCTTCACTGATGGAGTACATTTGCAAAAAAGCAAGCTTACTTTGGCTCTGTTTTTGTGTAATGAGATAGAAAACTTGCCATTCGTCACGTTTGAAATAGAATAAACTGTGGCAACAGGAGTCTGCAGTTTTAATTTCTGCAGCTGCAGTTTCTAATTAGTGATGAGAAGTAGGTGTTTACAACCTTTTAGGATCTGCTGGTTCCTCTTCAGTACTTTGGTAATGGAAAAAGTACCAAACTGTTTGAAACTTGGATGCAATCGGAGTTATATTAGTGGTCATTATTGGCAGGCATGTAACTGAGGTGATTTGTGTTGTACAGAACAGAGATAACTACATCCGCTCCTGTAAGTTGCTTCCCGATGGATGCACCCTGATTGTTGGTGGGGAAGCCAGCACGTTATCCATTTGGGACCTGGCAGCTCCAACTCCTCGCATCAAAGCAGAGCTGACATCTTCTGCACCTGCCTGCTATGCTCTGGCTATCAGCCCCGATTCCAAGGTGTGCTTTTCCTGCTGCAGTGATGGCAACATCGCAGTGTGGGATCTGCACAATCAGACATTGGTCAGGTGAGTCGTTGTTTACAGAAAATTTTAATAGAAGTTACTCTTTGGACAGCTACATAAATATTTATCTCCCTGAATAGGGTTTACAACAGCAAAGTAAATAGTCTCTTATTCAAAGGGGTGGTTTGCACCCAAGTTAGGCAGAAACTGGTTTTGGTAGCTTCAGCCTGGTCCTGGAAGATGTGCTTTCAGGGTTGGTCCATAACCTACTGTAGTCAATGTTAAAGCTCCTATTATTTGGGATTGGTGTGCAGGTTTCTACAAGCAGCATTCTTGTTGGTTTGTTATTGATATGGACTGAATGTGCGTTTTAGGGAGTGCTTTGAGGTTTGTTCTTTTCCTTTGTCTTAAGCCTTGTTAAGTGAAAAAGAGTATTTTTAATTCTTATTTAGCAATGGTAAGTAGTAAAATTACTCTTAAAAAAAGTGATTGAAATGGTGGATCCTCTCAGTTCTTTAGGAAAGCATGGGGCTTACTATAGGATAAATTTAGTTTATGCTTATCAAAGTAGTGGTGACTTAAAATGTTTTGAAAAGAGAGAATCTAATTTGGGAAAGGCCACGATACTTGGAAAGTTCTGAACACAAAAACTAAAGAATATGCTTAGTTTAACGTCCTGTAAATCCATAGTTAGCTGCAAATTACATGAAGAGAATCATGTTTATATGCATGCAAATTTTACTTTCTGTTGAACCTTTAGGTCAATAAATACAATTTTAGATATATAAAGTTTTCACTTTGTCATGTGCATGCTTAGTCCCTGTAAAGGTGCACTCTGCCACATCTATGCATATTTATGAATGTCTTGCTTTTTAAATGTCTGCTGTTTGTGTTCCCACCACTTGCACGCTGATCTTGCTGGTTTGATAGCACATGGAATTTTGAGGCCAGAGCTACTAAACAAAATGTGCCGTGTGACCTTTCTGTGGCAGCTCTTGGTGATTCATACCCTTCGTTCCCAAGCTGGTTGTCTTTTCCCCACCCGCCCTCCACCTTTCACACTGAGGCATAGGACTTTGCTAAAGCTAATTGCTGATGAAAAATGCAGGAGCCTCAGAATGCTTTTGCCAAAGGATTAAGAATAACTTGAGATGACCTTCTGGTTGCTGAAAGCTGAGAGTTGCTAATGAGAAGGTTATAAAACAAACTGCACCATTTAGATTTTTCTAATCTCCTGCCACAGAGAATGCAACTTTGTGACTCAGCAATGCTTATGTTTAACTATCTGGATCTCCATCTGGATCCATTTCTATTAGTATATCTGCTTGTTATTTATCTTCTTGACTTGCAGCCAAAGAAAAATACAGAAGCTGTTTTCTGAAATTGGAGGGTTTATTCTCTGACCGCTTTGATTTAATCCAAGTTATCCTTAGTGGTTTTTATTGTAGTTACTGTGCTTTAATATTCTCACAAGTGGGCTTGGGTTTTTTTGGTTTTTGTTTTCTTTTTTCAAAAGCTGATAGGAAATATTTGGCTTTATTCAGCTAGCCATTATGCAGTTCATTCTTCTAGCACCTGTAAAATGTTTTTTGAGATACTGGTATTTAATGCTTAGTGAGAGGGAGGGGCTGTTTTTTGCTCATCGTCAGACACAGAACAGATGACACATGTACAGAGTCCAAAACTAACACCACAACAGTGTTTACCTTGAGCTCTGGCAGGAAATCATTATTCAATCTGGTTTGTTTTATCAGGCAATTCCAGGGCCACACAGATGGAGCCAGCTGTATTGACATTTCTAATGATGGTACCAAGCTCTGGACAGGAGGTTTGGATAACACTGTCAGATCCTGGGACTTGAGAGAAGGGAGACAGCTACAACAGCATGACTTCACATCACAGGTAACTGGATTTTCCTACAGCTTTTGCCAATGTGTGGGGTGGGAGGAAGCCCTTAGGATTAAAGGTAAGACAGAGCCCAGTAGAACTGGCAGATTGTTCCCTCTCTTCCTTTCTCTTCCCCTGCTGCTCACAACACAATATTTTGAAGCTTTCTTATGTGCTTGCTTAGATTACAGAAGGAAATGATGACTTGACACTACTCTTCTCCTATTTTTCTGAGTTAATATGTAAAAACAGGGGTTATTTAGTTACTCGAATTTTGAACTGCAGTTTTGCTATTGAACTGTGTGAATTTGCCCTTATCTCTGTCTCCCTCTCCCAGATAATTTTAGCTGCAGAATAAAATGTTCTATAGGAAAAAAAATTAAAAGGTGTAAATATGGTTTAATTTTCAGATATTTTCCCTTGGTTATTGTCCTACTGGTGAATGGCTAGCTGTGGGAATGGAAAGCAGCAATGTCGAAGTGCTACATGTAAATAAACCGGACAAGTATCAACTGCACCTTCATGAGAGCTGTGTATTGTCACTCAAGTTTGCTTACTGTGGTAAGTTGCCCTGAACATAGAACTGGAGGTCAGGGCTCTTAATTCATGTTTTGCTGATTAGTTATTTCATAGTCATTAGTTATTACATCTCAGTTTCTTAAGTAATGCATAAATATCTCTGCTTTATGAATTCAAATGCACTTATCTACAAACAACCATCTGTTTGTCTAGAGGCTGCTGTGAGGATTGATTCATGTGTAAAAAGCTATTTCTGTTTGAAGAGTTTAGGGATTTCCTAGTATGTAACACACTGCAAATGCACTGAGCATCCATATTGATTGTAAGCAAAAGTGTTGTGTTGATTAGAAGAAAGAGCTTTTATAAGGGTAATTACTTAACAGATTTCATTTATGTGAATTGAAAACCCAAAATTTGTCAGATGTCTCTTTCATGTTTCTGTAATCCTTCTTGTTTGCATTCTAGGTAAATGGTTTGTGAGTACTGGGAAAGATAACCTTCTTAATGCATGGAGAACTCCTTATGGAGCCAGTATCTTCCAGGTGAGGATGATGTTGATTTTAATGAAAAAAAAATAGGCAGAGTTCCAAGACTGGATTCAGATGTCTTCATATATGTGATCTACCTAAAGTGAGAAGATGGAATGAGGGTAAACAGACTTCTTTTTAATGATATATTTCTATTTTTCTTCTAGTCCAAAGAATCTTCATCAGTGCTTAGCTGTGACATCTCTGTGGATGATAAGTACATTGTCACTGGCTCTGGAGACAAAAAGGCTACAGTCTATGAAGTTATCTACTGAAAAACATGATGGGGATATTCTTTTAGTGGTTGAACTGGGCCAAATTTGTTTGTAGAAGTAGAAAGGTTTTGAATTTTTTTCAAAGGAACAAAAAAAGTGTTGAGGTTCCAGACCTTGCCATGAAGCTACTCCGGTTTTTCAAAACAGAAGGCAACATCCCGCAACTAAGTATTGGCTACGTGGACCAGACGGAACACAGAGGCAAGATGGACAGATGTAGCCTAGGTTTTTGACATTATTTTTAAAAAGCCAAGTCTACTGAAGAATGTTGGAGCCTTTTATTTTTTTTTCTTTTTGTGACCTCATGCAAATTTTTCTCATTGCCTGAATATGGGGGATAAATACCTTTCTGTTTCTTGCAGTTCAAGTTGCATTCTGTCCTGTGTAGAGCAGCAGTGTCTCAGATGAACTTGATTCCTGGTTTTGCATCTTGTGATATGTTTTTGTATTTTTGTTGAAGGTCAAACATTTGTATAAATTGTAAATATATTTAGTTTACTACAGTAAAGGCTTTAGTACCAACAACCAGTCTTCCCCTTTGCCCCCTCCCTGCTTGCCCTGCTTATTTAAAATTAAAAACCTTTTGGGGATATAAGTACCTTTTTAGAAGCAAAAGCAAACACTATGTATAGTTTGAAAATGGTGTCTTATTCTTTATAACTATTCTTAGATTCCTTTATCATACTTCAAAGTAGTTGATTTGACATATTAGGGTATCAAGTCCAGTAGATATTGTCTTGTTCTACAGAAACTTAAAGGCAGTTTTGTACTAATTATAGTGTAAATATAAAAATTGAACATTTCATAAAGATGTGCAGTTTAAGTTTATTCTGATGTCCCATGTATATGTTTTTTGGCAGATACAGTAAATATGTGCCTGATCATAACTCATTTGGTCATTTCTCTAGGAGAGGAGGTGACTTCCCTGTCCTTTTTCCCCCAGCTGAACAGAATTCATGTGAGACTGCATTTCAACTAAGTGCATCAGAGCCTTTATTCGTTATATGAGGATGTCTGTGATTAGATAAGCTAGATAAATTGCATCCTTCATGTTTTACAGAGAAGTGGTAGTTAATGACCATTTCCTTTTTAAAGTCTTGTCTATACTTAGATACTCAGGTAAATTTAACTAAATTACCAAAAGTATGAGTTTTACAGGGGATTGCTTAAAGATGATAAATACTTGCAGGGTTGCAAGTGAAGTGAATTAACCTAAACTGGGTTAAACTCGCTTCTTAATTTCTTGTGAAAATATTGACAAAGGAATATTTTGATTTTTAACTAATCCACTCTACAAATTAATTAGAATTAATTTTCCTGAGTGTCCCATGTTACGCAGGCCTTTAGGCTCTATGTATGTATTCATGCTGAGCAATCTTTCAGTCCTTTCCATTGTCACATCGCTGTGTGATATCTGTGAAGAGCCATGATATGCAGCCAGTTACCAAAGCTATGCATCTTCAAGTTTTCTTGGTGTACTCAAGAGCAATGGATGAGGAGAGAATGTGTTCACTTTACTTAACTATTATTTTTTCAGTCTAATGTGTTCTACCACTGTGTGCTAGACAACAAACTTTGCTGTTGCACTGGTGAGAGCCATACATTTCCTACATTCTGTAATTTGGTTAGAATTTCTGTTGCTAATGGAGAGTACAGCTGAACAGAAGGGTATCTTTAAACAGCTAATTTAGATTACACAAACTAGCAGACAGAAGAGCTGCTTTCTCATTTTGCTAGCATTTGACAATGGCCTATGTTCCTGCTCTTTCAAAGACGTGTAGCTCGGAAGAAAAAGTTTTACTGACAGATGCATTGATTGGTTATGGAATTTTTCATCTGGGGGCAAATTTTATCTAAGTTTCTAGTCTGAAGAGACACAGGTTTTCTTTTCAATTTACATGACCATTCTACTAAAACCATTTTATGGCATCTAGAACTGTGATAGCCTTAATGTGTTAACATTGCATTCAGAATGTAAAATGTTACCCTTCAGGATAATCTGGTCTCCTATAACATTTAAAATTGGCATTCTATCAATACGTATCCATGTATATCTTTGCTGATTGCTTAGTTCTTAATTTGTATCTGTATGAAAAAGACCAGTTTAGTTGTTGGTCATGTGGCTTTCAGACATGGTGGGGCAAAAAGCAGAATAATCAGACTTCAAAGAGTTAACTATATTTGCTACACTAAAATACTGGGAATTGCTATGCCATTTTTAAAAGGGAAAGTTTTAAAACAAAAGGATTTATGAGGTTACTTGATTTTATATTGAAATTTCTCTGAACATCTGGCTCTGGCAGTGATTGACTTTAGCAGCACTGGCAAATTTGCTTTATTTGGGACCATTTGGATTTTTGCCAAACTGCTATCACCTTGGCTTTTACTTTATAGGTATCCTTTTGCTTTTCTCTGAAGTCAGTATCAGAGGAACCAAGAATGCAAGTATTCCTACACGTCCATATAAATAAAAAAAAAAAATCTCACAAGTGTAATTGTAATATATGTTGTGACATAGTGCTTGCTAGTAAGATCACATTCTTGTCAATCAGGAAATTAAAAATCATAGTGTCAGGAAAATCACAAAATACCTTGTTTTCTTGGCTTCTAGAATGCAATGTGTCAGAGCAGTTACGGAATCAGAAATTTATGTGTGTGAATGAATTTAATCATATTTGTGCCGTATATTTCTTGATTATAATTAAGAAATTAATTTCTTTTTTTTCCCCCATCATATCTACTTTAAGCCTTGGGTCTAAAAACTAGTAGATGCATCTGAAAGCTTCTGGGTGGATCACACATACTTGTGGATGAGTAGTTCTCTCCATTTGCTGTTTCAGAATTCACTTAATATTTATAAAACATTGTGAGTTTTTTCATTTGTCAGACCGTAAAGCATGTTCTACTTGCAGATGTAATTTTTCATGAAAAGATAGATTTCTTTTAATTTCTTTTAATGAAAAAAACAGGAGATAGACACTCCTAGCCTGTCTGGTCTACGCAATTACCTAAAAGATGTAAAGCCTGTGAAGCTTAAAACTTCTGTAAGTTCTTGTAGCCCTGTGCAAAGTAGTGGGTGTAAATAATTGCTTATTGAATGAAGAAACAGACCAACCAAGATCAGCAATAACAGAAAAGGCACTGGGAAAACCATATGGGAAAAAGGAAGTGCACCAGTAACTATTGTGTAGGTTTGTTTTTTGGTTTCTTTTTGTTTGGGTGGTTTTTTGGGTATTTTTTTGTTTTTTGGTTTTTTTGGGGGGCGAGGGGGGTGGCGGGTGGGTCAATTTAATTACAGTCCTAGAAGATTCCTTTGGTTAGCCCCTTTTTGGGACAGTCTTTGTGTGCCGGGTGGCCTTTAGTATTCAGAGATATTTGAATGCCACTCTGGCAAATGCTAGTGCTGGATAGAAGCAGGGTGTCCTTACAAAAGACATTTTGGATTGTCAGTGCAAACAATAACTGATGAAGAGGGGATTTGTGGTAATACCAATTCAACTGAACAAAATCCTTTGCTAGCTTTAATATGTATATTTTGTATATGTGCACTTGGCATAACCCTTCATAAATCAATTGTGCAGAAAGTCATTATATCATTCCATGTATTTGTCAGTTTGTCAGACTTTCTTTTTGATTATAATTCCAAGCAACAACAGTTCGCCATGTTAGTCCACAAGCCATTGGTACTTGAGAAAGAAGTTTCATCTACATTAGTTCTTTCTAACTCATTTGGCATTTCAAAGGCTTTTGTTCCTTTAAAGGAAAGAGAGGCACTAAATGAACATATTTTTCAGAGACTGTTATAACAAACGTTATTTTTTAATATAAACATCAATGTAGAATCTGTTATGTAGTCTCATACATACTTCTGTGTATGAATGATTGACAATAATTTTTGGGTCACATATATGCATTGGCAATACAAGTAGAATTTCAGAAGCTTTTAAGTTACTCAAGTAACTTTTAACTCAGATTGACAAACTGATTTTTGTTTTCGGTGTTTAATTCTTAATAGGGTTTTTTGCTTGTTTGTAATTTTGTAGAATGATTGGCCCACTTAGATGCCATGGGATTATGTAGTCTAGTTAGAGTAGTCTTTCATGTTTTCTATTACATTGGTGCAATTTTGAGTTGATGGGGAAATTCCACCATTCTGTTAAGAAAGGTGGATTTTGAAGTTTTTGGGGTAAGGAGGATTACTGACTTCTGATTTCGCACTACTGATAAAGTGTTTACCCCTTAAATCTGTTCACTGGATAATCTGGACTGATTCCAACTGTGCTGTCTCCTTGAAGTTTTCTCTTTTTTTCTGCTACCACAAGTACACAGAGAGAATTTGAGAAGGTAGGTCTATGTAAGACTTCAGTCAATTCATTCTGTCCTGCCAGACAGACATACTTTATTATGTAATGGGGAAGGCGGGTGAGCAGCTCAGAGTTGAACCTGACAAACACCAGAATGCAAGAGGGTTTCTTGGCAGAAAATTCATGGACAGAATCGCTTCAGAAAAGCCCTCCAAGACCATCTAGTCCAACCTTTGAACATCACATGTAAACTAAACCATAGCATTATGTGCTGCATCTAGTCATTTCTTGAACACCTGTGGGACGAGTGATGCTGTCACCTCGCTGGGCAGCCTGCTCCAGTGCTTGGCAACTTTATCCGTGAGAAAATTCTTCCTGGTGTCCAACCTGAATCTCCCCTGGCTCAGCTTGAATCTGTGTCTTCTTGTCCTGTGGGTGAGAGGAGAGGCCAAGTGACACCCAAGTTGCTGCAGCCTTATTTCAGGGAGTTGTAGAGTGATGAAGTCTCCCCTGAACCTTTTCTCCAGGCTAAAGAATCCAGTTAAAAGTGGACATTTCTTTGATATCCATAAACATCTAATCATCTCATCCTAAGAGGAAAGGGAGTTAATTCACAGCTAGTTCTCAACATGTACCACTATCTTTTATTTCTGTAGCTAAAGATCTGCTTCCAAGCAATTGATAATCCCATTTTAAGCAACAAGCTCCCAAATGTCCCATTGCAGCTTAAGTGCTTAGTGCAGTGTGGTAACTTTTGCTTGGGAAACCAGACATACAAGAACTGGGTGCTTGAAAAGTCTGCCTTATGGGTCTATCTTACTGACACTTCTGAGAAATTTACCCAGAATTTCTACTCAGTTGCATAGGAGAGCTCAAACACTAACTGAAACATTTTCTAAATCAGCAAAAAGTGTGTTTTGAACAGATTTTAAGCACACAGGTGGACTTACGGGTTTTTTGGTTTGGTTTGTGGTTTTTTACTAGTTTCTGTTGATTTATTTCTTTTTTTCTTCTGGCATAACTTTAAAAAAGTATAAATTGAATACAACAAGAAAACATGAAGGGAAATCAGAAGAATGAATAATAGTCTTCAGAGGGCAGAATGCTGTTGAAGATGCTGTATCTCAAAGCAAAGAGCCTATTGCTTCTTGATACGTTAATTCATGAGAGAGCTGTATTTCTATTTCCTTGAGGCTAAAGTGCTGCTCAGAAAACTAAATACCAAAAAAATTCTGTTGCAGACTCAAATGTTGGTTATCATCTTCAAACCTGAGCAGGTTTTTTTGTGGCGTTTGGTTTGTTTGGGGTTTTTTTTCCCCATAATTCTTAGATCTGGTTCTCACAGTTCACTCCAAGAAGCTGAAAAACAGTCTGTGTCCTTTCTGGCTCTGTGCTCTGCTATGCATTAGTAAGAATTTAGTTGCCTGTTAATGATACATAGTATACAGGAAAATCTGATTGAATATTTTAGTGATAGCTCCTTTATTATATTGAGCAGTGTCTGCTGTAATGATTTCCCTTACTAAAGCAAGCACTCGTATATAAGATACCTGCATTATTCTATACTCATACTTTTATTGTTTATGGAATTCCTGGTTTGGCATAGTTGACTCTTGCTAGAAAAAATTCTGTGGTGGCTTCTGAGGTAAAACTTAAGATTATGAGATTTTTCCTGTCCTATAATTTCACATATGATTTTGCCCATGTTTTTGTAAGGTTATGTTGATTTATAGAAGAGATGCTGCAAGGAACATTAGATATTTCTATTGTGTACAGCTTGTCAAGGATTGCCTTTGCTACGTTCACAGCACAAAGGTATCTCTCAAACCCTGTTTCTATCTGTTTTCTGCCAAAAATGAATTTGAGGTGAAGACAACACATAGTCTGGAGAGCAAGTAATCAAACACACTGTTATCATTATCCCTTTTGTCTACTCTGTCATTAACATAGGAAATGAAGATGATAGCCTGTAACTGCAAACAATAAATGCTGTTTTTCCTCCGAGCACTGATTTTAATGGCAGTTTAAAGAAGTTAACAAGCAGAATGAAGGGGTCTTAAATGAAAGTTAAGCCATAGCAGTTGGAAACTGAGAAATCCTTGTTACTTTCCTGGTAGTGAGCCTAATTTGTTTAAAATAAAATGCATCTGCTCATTTCACAGTCTTTGTCACACTTCCTTCAGCGATCCACAGTGGATTACCCCCTTACTTTAAAAACTGGCTGCAATTATAATAAGCTAATAACTTTATTTTTTGGTTTGCTGTAGTACAGAATTTTGCAGACCAGTGAAAATGCCCTTTATTCTTGAAAAAATAGTCAGCTATTGTTTTGGGGTTTTTTTGCAGTTGGACACATTTTTTTTTTTTTAAATTTAGATTTTAAAGAAATGCATAATTTGATGGCTTTGCAAATTCAAAGTATTTTCTAATTGTTGATAAATCAGCCAAACACTGCTGTTAAGTATGTAAATGTCCTTAATGTCAGCCTGGTATTTGCTTAGCATGCCATGCATGCAACAAAACTTCGGAGTGATTCAACTTTGTGGCCACATTAAATTTACTTACTGGGATAAGTTTCCTTTTTCATACAGAAATCAGTTTACTACCATGCTCCTTTGTGTTTCCTCCTGAATATACATTAGATCTCTAGAGATTGTTTTAATGAGTTATACATACATAATGCTTCTAATTTTTCTCTGTCTTTCTGATTGTTAATTATGTGAGATGTGTATTTCTGACAGCAGTTGAGTGAATATTCACAAATATATGATATAATTGAATTTTTGAATGTGTACTTCAAGAAGTTTATAGACTTGTATAGATAAAGCATTGATTTTCATTTGTCAAATTCAAGATTTTCAAGTCCTGATACTCTTGTATTTTTATTAGTGAATCTGTTTAAGGAAATACTTCTGGGTTTTGAATGGTTTTCATAGCTTTTTTTATTTGCTTATGTAGATACTCTTCTTTGTTGAGTACAAGTTATTGACCTTGTATTCTATTTATAAATCTTCCTGGTTCTTCAGTATTTTATGTAGCTGTAACTTATTAAAAACCACAAATATGAAATGGGGATATTAATGACAAGTGGTTTAAATGTGAGAGTTCCAAAATGCATGTTAGAATATTTCAACACTTTGTTCACTGTAATTTTACATTTTTTCATTACTTAAGTAATTAAAAAAACTCCTTAGGGTTGAATTATAGTAAAATTTTATACATCTCAGTACTAATTTTGTCTCCCAGTGGACAGCAATAATTTAGATGGGATTGTTTCTACTCTACCTAATTTATTCTTGGGTAGGGGGGAAGGGGAAAAATATTAACCTTGCAAATTTTGCTAATTATAATAATTTCATTACTATTGTGTAACCTCCATGCCTTCAGAAATTTGTTCTTCTGTGTTTTGAAGAAAACATCCAGATATACAGGGTTCTGTAATAGAATGTGTTTACAGTATTTATCCCCTGGGTTAGCTATAACAGTAAGGGGAAGTACGGTGACAGATACCACTTGCAATAGTTGCTATAGTGCCTTTGAATCATTTTCTTTAGTTACTAAATTTTTTTGTAATCTTAGGTGAGGTGAGCAGCTTTAAATCTGTTTCATTTCTACTAAAGTGGATATGATAATACATTCTTAGAGCTTTACTTGTCTTGCTCATTTTAAATCTGCAAGGTAAATTGTTGCATGGATGGTTTTGAACTGATTTGACTGTTCAGGTTAACTTCTTAGGTTTCAGAACCTGCTAGAGTAGAGGGAGAAATCACCAGTTATATTTGGGGGGGGCGGGGTTTATTGCTTTCATTTTGTACTATGTATCGGTGGGACTTTCTTACCGCAGTAGGTGTGCTCACAGTTTTAATGTTCCCCTAGTTTGCTCTATCTGTTTCATTTGAGTTTAACTTACAAATTAATCCCTTTTCATAGGTACCTTAACAAGTATTAAAATAATCAAAATATCACTGTTTGACAGAGACACTGTATATTTCTCTGTTTCTAATGTGGATAGCGTTTAGCAGGGCTTGTCTAGTTAAAAGGCAGTTAAAACAGTAATCACACATGATCTGTGTCTAACTGTCATTCGTAGAAAAAGTGCAGCAAAGTGATATGTGGTGATAACAATTCGGAAGGAAAAGAATATGAAATTCAGATAGCAGCTTGAACGATTTACTGTTAGCATGGGGCCCAATAACACTACAAAGCTATAAACTCTGTCTTTCTAGATTGCCCAGTTAGGTGGCAGAGATGCAATTTGTCTTTTCTGAAACCGCCTGCTGCTAGCTAGCTCCATCTCCTGTCACAGCCTATTAGCTCCCCAAGAAAATTGGTGGGAAATTGCCTGCAGATTGTAGGAAATTGCATCTCCAGGCCCTGGAAAAAATGTAGGATAGCACAACACTGATCCTCCCAGAGCAGCTATTAATACAGCAAAAGCTGACCTTTGGCATGGTGTGAAACGACTTTGCTGAATAAAGACTGTATTATGTGTGGTTGAAGGAGGGAAGGAATTATTATCCTAGCTATGCTTGTAGTCAGCCTGTTCCAGGAAGCTTAAGCATCAGTGGTAGATTTTGCTGCCCCCCAGCTCATTCCCATTGGAAGCTGGGAGAAGACGTGTTAGAGCCTTATACAAAAATTTTGTTGTACAGATGGGCAAAAACCCATTACGTATTTAAATGATAGTACATATCAGATTCAAAGGTTTAGTGACAAAGCTGAAAGGTAATTTATGAAGCTAATTGCAAAAAAATTAATAGGTGCCTCTGCTTGGTCAAGTCTTGGTCAGACTAGGAACAGCTTTTTGGCTATTTCATTCTACTTGTATATACATATTATACATGTGATTTTGGAGCAGTTACAGTGAAAATGAACTGATTTGTTTCTGTAACTGCAAACTGTAAAAAGTCATGGAATACACAATACTTACCATAGATTCTAGCACTAAATTCCTTGCTGCTAGGAAGCTCACTTCTGTCATGTTTAAATTGATTCCTATGTGTTCTTTATGGTGTGATATACAATGAGCTTCATCCTCTGTCATTTCTACTACAGCTACCTTTATTATTTTGTACTTTACCTCAGTTTTATAGGGCCTTTCAATAAAGACTCAGCTTTTCTGAGAATTCTGAGAGGGGGTATGTAGAGAGAGTTTGCAACATAAAAATAAATGCCAGCATTTTCTTTGAGGTGACAATTATACTTAGTTGATTCAAAGCCTCCTGAGGAAGATGTTGTTGTGGATCAGAATGGTATATCGATCAGAAGCAAGTAGGAGGAGGGCAGCAGCAGCAGGGAAAAAGTAATTTTGCAATCAAGAGCATTGCTGTTTTCATACTCAGACAAGATCTCTTGGAAACTGGCAGCTGCCCAGGGATCTAAGTGAAACCAATAGGTTCATTTCCTGTTGTATTAGTGTCCACTGCTGTAAATGAGCTAACAGGGCTTACGAACACTCACACCGCTGATTAAAGAAAATTAGTGGCCTGCCTTATGGAGCTGAGGCAGAGGCAGCAGGGCAAAATAGGTATTGTGCATAATTCAAAGCACAGCTGAAGGCAATCAAGAAAACTTCACATTATGGGGCTCTCTGGACCACTGTTTTGAATTCTTGTGATCATGAATGCACACATATGTCAGTCTGAAATGCTAATTTGTTGAGACATTGTTTTTCTAAATTAGTTATAGCACCTTTCATGGAAGTTATGCAGTTTAGTGCTGTGTGTCATTTCTTGTAAAACACAAATACAGGAACAGAAGAGCTGTGGTGCTTGAGCCTTTATTCTGTATTTACAATAGCTGTTCATCTTCCAAGGTACTACATATTAATTGCATTCTCAAAATAAACCTTGCCATTTAGTAACAAACTGGGTTTTTTGTATAGTTCAATACATATATTGGATGAGCAAAGAACATTTAGAGGACACAGAAGATCTTCCCTATTTAAAGGATACAGAAAATTTGCCCTGGCAAATCACTGAATTTGCCTTCTCTTGCAACAAACAAACTAAATTGGGTGATATAGTATTCAGAATTTAATTTCTTCTGGCTGATGGCACTGTGTGTTACCTGCACGCATACTCTGAGGCTAAGCCTATTATCCCACACAGAGCAAGGAGGTAACAAATCATTCTGTATGAAAAGCAGAAGCTTTCTTTTCATAAATTCTGCAAGCTCTTGTTCTCTTATGGAAAGAACCAAAACTCAGACTGGGCTGTGAGGAATTTGGAGTGCACCTAAAGCTGCTCTGGACAGCTGGTTGGTTTAAAAGAGGATTGGCAGGGGGGAAAAACAACTCCTGACAAACCAGTTCTCAGCCAACACTTAATGACTGGAAAGGATGTGCAAACCATAAATAGCACCTTTATCCTACAACAGTTGTTGAGCTCCAGCAAAAGACAGCACACTAAACTGTGCTTGCTTCCTTTTTCTGTAGTTAGTTCAAACATTGATTATTGTCAATCTAAGTTCTGATCAGTCCAACTTTGGTGAGACCATGTTTTTCATAATGCGTAATTACAGCCAATAGCATATCAGAAAAATAATCCAAGTTCTTTAATCAGCTTGATTTTGTTTCTTAATTATGCCTTCCTGGGTAATGCTTCTCACTTACCACACTAGGAAAATGCAGGTTTTTTTTTACTCTTCTCTGTTCAAATTTCCAATATTCCAAGTGCAGAACAATAAAATGGTTCTAATTTACAGCAGTATGCTGGTGAACATTAATTTTTTTGCTAGTGTCATTTTTCTAGCCCCAGCAAAAATTCTTAGGTTTTTTTTTGGTTTTTTTTGTTTTTTACTATTCATTGTACCCAGAATCATATTCATGGTCATTCATTCACAACTTTTTTCAAGTTCTTCATCAATGGCATTTACTGGGTGTTTAATTTTTATGAAAAAATTGTATCTGAGTATTGCTGAACTCTGTGATAAAATCCTTTCTCCAGCACCATACCTTCCTGATACTCTAGCTGAGAAAAAGCCAGGTCCCCACCATTTTTTCTTAAGAATCTGACACTTTGAAAAAAAATCCAAAACTACTTGGTCCATTTAGTAAAAAAGCTTTTATTTCTATGAACTCTCCCAACATTTTTATTTTATATTCTATCAAAGATTCATATTTCTTCTATAAAAAGGCACTAAGGAGGCATATAGCATAACTACAGCCCTTCTAAAGGATTTTCATGCTGGGATGGTGCGGGGGTAGGTTGAAATAGCAGGGAGGGAATGAAGATGTAGAGCAAAGCCTCTCTTTTGAACCAATTGGACCATTAGTTGTGAGAGACCAGTGACCTCTCAAGATAGGGTTGGCAAAGGTTTGGGGGAGCAGAGGAGCTGTGTTCTGGTGGACACCTAGTACAATTCCCCTAGTAAAGTTGGGCATGGGGAAATGTAAGCAACAGTGTGCACACAGGATGGTAGCTGTAATTTGGTCTCCATCTTGCCCAGGCTGCCCCAGTGCTGCTGGAGATAAGGCTAGGGCTGGAAAGTCCTGGGCAAGGAGCTGAGGGATTGGGAGGTGCAGGAGAGGAACCAATGTTTGGGGCCTGGGGGGAGAAATTCATGGGAGGAGAGCGTCAGCAGTGGCAGATTGGGACCAAGAGACTGTGTATAAATCTCTCATGGATGAGGATAAGCCACGGAATTTCTAAAAAAATTTACAGCCCCATCATCAAGTATTTTTGGGGGTCTGGGCTTGTCCAAGATAGCCCAGGGACAAGTAAAGGAAAAAAACTAGGAGTGAAGATGTTTGTGGGAGTGACACCAAGTCTTTGGTTGCTTAC